TTGTGGGTAAACATGCCAGAGCACTATTCCAGAAACCTCTCTGGGAATTATGCAAACCTGAGCAATATCTGAGAACTCTTCGATGAAGTGGTAGCTATCACATAACAAACTGCTGAGTTCAGATCTGCAATGATCACACTTAATGTTCAAGTCATATGTGCTTATTAATAATGTATGTGTGGAAATGGCAGATTTGGTCATTATTTGTTTGATGCTGATTTCAATGTGATTGTGCTGCCTTCTTTAATTCTCCTGATTGTGAGGTAGAGGAGGTATGTTTCCACCTGGGTTTCTTCCCTCTTGAGTCATACAGGGCTGTGAAGACAGAATCAGCTCACACATTGAAATACAACCACAGTCATGGCACTGAGCTCCTACAGCTTAAACTATTCTGTTTATACACTAAAAAAGCAATGGGAGCCAGGCATAGTGGTGTACACCTTTAATTCTAGTATTTGGGAAGTGGAGGACCTCAAGTTCTAGGCCAGGCAGGGCTAGGGCTACATAGTAAGACCCTGTCTCAAACAGGCAAATAAGCAAAGCAATGGAAGAAAATTTACTTATATAAATAATGTACATATCACTTAATAAGCATTAAATATTATTTGATAAAATGCTAATAGACCAATAGGTTTGAAAATGCACCACTAAATATAAAATTTAGTTCTAATGAGGGTGGAGTAGGATCTAGAAGAGTGCCAGCTCAAACTAGTTATCATTATCATTATCATTATTATTATTATTGCAAATAGAGGGTGTCTCCATCTGCACCTAATTCATAAACTGAGTTGTTAATTCACATCAGAAACAGCATTCCGGGGCCAGAGAGATGGCTCAGCAGGTAAAAGTACTTGCTGTATAAGCCCGACCACCTGAGTTTGATTCCCAGAACCAACAGAGGAAGGAGAGAATCAACTCTGGAAAGTTGTCCTCTGACCTCCACAGGCTTCTTGTGGTATGCCTGTGCCTCCCCCTTTGTACAAATGTACACACTCCTATAGTGCGCGCGCGCTGGGTGCCCTGGTGCGGCGCGGGGATCGGTCCCCTGGTCTCAGCCGCGCCGTGGAAGAAGGCGGGTCTGGCCCCGCGGGCTTCTCCGTGTCTCTGTGGGTCTCTGCTGCTGCTGGAGCGTTGTCCAGCTGTATACCGCCTTAATCCCCGACCCCCCTGCTTTCCTCTTGAAGCGAGATCCACTGGCCTCTGGATCACGCAGGAGAGCGTGAGGCGGCTGAAAGCTGGGATCCGTGAGACGGAGGTATGCTGCCTCTGGAGAGGCTGGATCGCCAGTAAGACACGGGCTTAGTCTGTGTCACAGCTTTTATTAAGTGTCTGGATCACGCAGGAGAGCGTGAGGCGGCTGAAAGCTGGGATCCGTGAGATGGAGGTATGCTGCCTCTGGAGAGGCTGGATCGCCAGTAAGACGCGGGCTCAGTCTGTGTCACAGCTTTTATTAAGTGTAGCTTCAAGTGATCCAGCTCTCTGATATTGAGAGAAGACTGGGATATTTATACCATGGGGGTAGTGGTAAAAGCTTTGGCTGATAGATACTTTGTGAGACATTCTATTTGCATATGGAAGTGGGTTTCTGCCATGCTGCCAGACTGCTTACTACCTGAAAAATCACACAGGAAAGCATGGTATTCCTAGAGCCAGAGGCCATGTTTATGTTATGGCATTTGTGGCGGGTACTTCAAAAGGAGAGTCAGGAAAATTGCCAGGAAAGTACCGTGCTATGAAAGGAGTCTCAGCACATAACTCCGAGCTCGTGAGCTATCCGGATATGAAGAGACTTCTACTTCACATAACAGAGACCCCCCAACACACTCCCACAATAATAAAGAGAAATAAAAAATAGCACTTAGACATTTTGTGTTTTTCATAATCTGGTTGGCAAGAAGGACAGTGGTCCTCAGCTGTCAATTGAAACATGTCTCGTGTTCACATATAAGTCATGTAATACCTTTATTAACAAGAAAGAAACTTTCACATGAACTTTATCACCCAAGAATGTCATTGGCTTCCTTCCCTAAGTTAATATTTCTTTTAAATTTTTTTAATTTTAATAATTTTAATGATTTTAATGCTTTTTAATGATTGTGGTTGGAAAGATGGATCATCATGCCAGTGTGGAGAATAAAATTTTTAGAATTTAAGGAATCAGAGGGGGGTTATAATGCTCTCTTTTGCAAAATTAGCATTCTATGAGTTTTCTAAAAAATTCCCTTTCCAGTCAGTGAGTGGAGTGGGATCCTAGAGATTGAGGATCTCAAAGCCCAGAGCATGAGCTCAGCCTTGTTGCCAAAATGGTCGAGGCAGGAATGTGTTCACATGTACAAACAGCCATGTCAGCAACGTGCACCACAAGTGGAATCCTAGTGAATACATGGGGAAAGCAGTGCCTTCCACCTTATTGAAACCAGCTCTGTTGTGGGGTTTTTGTCATTTCAGCTTACGAATGCTGCTGTCGGTAGCTGCTATCCCATTAGTCTCTGTAAAAGATGTTTTTTCCCCTTTTGCTTTTGGACTTAAGTACCACCTGAAGAGAGAAGCCTTTTAAGGCCTGGAAGACTGGCCAGTGCCCTTTGTCCTTCTGTTCACCTTCTAAAAGGTAGCATTGTTAACCTAATTCAGGGGGCCCTGACTCAGTATAAACACTGCTCCATATACCCAGAAAGACTAATTGAATTGTACAATACATCATATTTAACAACAGTTTCAAGTGGCTTGTCCTTCACTTCCCTGAATACCATCAGGCTTTTTTAAACACAATAAATACAATATTTAACTCAGTTTTCCCTTTGGAGCTGGGGGATACCTGACGACAGGGCCATGCTGGGTTTTTTTCTTCGTGGCCTGCCTTGGGTCTGCTGTGCTGTCTGGTGTGTACCTGTCTGTGCCTCACACAGTGAAGGCTATTGTACTCTGGCATCTTGCTGTCTCTCATCTCTTGTAGTAGCCGAAGGTCTTGGCTGATTCTGGGTGCTACTTTGTGTCCTGGATCAGCAGAGACTGTAATAAGCTTCTTTAACTTTATCACTCTCTCTGCAGGATGCCATAGGATCAGGCTATATAACACGTATCTTAAAAATAATTGCTTATAAGAAAAAAAAACCTTTTAAGAGATGATGTAGTTTTATAGCCTTGTAAGAAATATAAACCTTGATGTGAACTTTACACTATATGGTGATAATATTGAATTTTATGTATATGTTAAGTATGTTATTAATTAGTACATAGTAGCCATACATAATCACACATTATATACCGAGGGTTTTCATGATTGTGTTAGCCTGTTCTCTCTTCATACTCTCCTCTGTTCGTCAAATCAATTTCTACTTCTATTTCTAGACCTAGATCCAGTGTCACCAGGCCTACCCTGGCTCTTAGCCTTCTCTCCAGGAAAAGTGATTCCTCCTCCTTTAAGCTAACAGTGGGCCTCATCCATACCTCTGCTGATGACAGGCTGCATGTGGTATTTTTGTGTTTTGTTTTGTTTGTTTTTGAGACAAGGTCTCCCTGTAGCCCCAGCTGGCCTGGAGCTCGCTCTGTAGACCACGCTGGCCTCTATCTCACAGAGATCCGCCTGCCTCCCAGCTTGCATGTTGTTTTTGTTTTGAATGTTTATCTTTTGTATCCTCTTCATTAGTAAGCTTCTGGTGTGGAGTATAAAGCAGTGGATTTTCAGTTTTCTTTTTAATGAACAAAGTTGTTTATTTTAGCTCTGAATTCTAGCCTTGCTTCTGGAGAGGTGTCAGTGGAAACTTTTTGGAGAGGTTTCCATAAATAGAGACTGAGCCAGCTCTGTATATCACTAAGCACATTACATCTGAGTTTCAGCAAATTGGCATGTTGAGCTTCCAAACTGTTGCCCACATGTGATGATGTTATACATTGTTTAAGCATCGCCCCCCGCCTCTTCTCTTTCTCTGGTACATTGTATTTCCAGTGCATTATATATTTATATTTATTGCAGGGACTTTTGAAAATTACTTTCATACAGATTTAGAGTTGGATGAATATATTAACCAGAATCAGCTCATGTTTAAAGGTATTCTAATAAGGGCAGCTCTTTCCAGGCATTGAAGTAGCATGGTTGAGTCTATTTCTCTTCAGTCAAATTACTCTCAAGGTAAATTCTTTCCTTCCCTTCCTCCCTTCTTCCCTCTTTTTATACCATCTGTTCCTTTTAATATTTCTGTTAATGTCTCACAATATATGTGTGGTTTTCTTATTTAAAAATATTTTTTAAAAGTATAATGAGGGGCTGGAGAGATGGCTCAGTGGTTAAACATACTGTCTGCTCTTGCAACATTCCTGGGTTCGATTCCTGCACCCACATGGCAGCTAACAACAGTCTGTAACTGTAACTCCAGTTCCAGGAGATCCAACGCCCTCTTTGGACCTCCATGGACATTGTACAATACAGGTGCACTTACATATGTACAGGCAATGCACTCATACACATAAAATAAAAATAATAAATCTTTTAAAAAAATAAATAAAAGTATTATGAAATATACATATCTACATATATTTATGTAGTTTTTAAAAATCATGAATTCTTTTTTGTCAATGCTTTTCATTTTGAAATAATTACAGAGTCACAGGAAATTGAATATATACTACACAAATCTCTTGAGTACCTTTCACCCAGCTTCCTCCTGTGGTTACATCTTATGTCACTACAGTAGGATATTTTTTTAAAAGGAAAGCCAGAAAATTGGCATTGGTGTGATGGGTTCTGTGTCATTTTTTCAGAGGCATAGGTTCATATAATCACTAGAAAAATCAAGCTAGAAAGCTAATGAATTCTTCCAAATTTACCAGTTGAGTTCCTGAAAGATGGAAAAGTGAAGCCAAACTGTGTTTAGCTAAACTATAAGGATCTTTTCATTTAGCAGTGTTCAGAAATAGTAGTTACCAAACTATGGTTCTTAGGCTGAACAGATGTGCAAAGCTGGGTGGTTCCTCAACACTGGTGAACAAAGCTTGTTTTTCAGGTGTCCAAGCAGGCCAAAGAGTTTCTGGAGTATGTGTACGAAGAACCCCTGATCGACATTCAGCAGGAGAATCCCATGCTGTACCTCCACGCGGAGCCACTGGCCACTGTTGTGAGGCTGCGGCAGAGGCTGAAGTCGCTCCGAGCCTATTTGTTCAGCTGCCGGGCAGCGGTGGCGGAGGATCTGCGCCGCAGGTAAGTCATAAATGCCAGCCGGCTCCAGTTTGTTTTTCCTGCCCACCCAGGAAGGGTCTTTCCAAAGCGGGCCTTCTCTGAGACTGTGTCTCCTTCTACGGGGCACTGCCGCCTGCCCCAGGCTCATCTCACTTTCCCCTCTGTTGGTCTCTGGTTGAGCTAAGCAAAATGAACACAACAACTCAGCCTTGCCCAAGACTTGCAACCCATGAGTGCGGGCCCAGGGAGTTTCAGATACAACCATCAGAGCCTTCACAGATCATGTTGCATGTTTTAGAAAACATTTTCTGTTTCAGTTGTAATTTTTCATCAGTAAACATAGCATGTTTGAAATATTTCATAACTAAAAAGCACTTCAATGGCGAAATGAGTAAGTTTGTATTCAAATCTTATTTTCTGTACAAAAACAAATATTGTCCATGGTAAAATGCTGTAGGCAGGAAAACCTAGAACTAAAATGCATATCCCAGTCTTCCGCCTTTTCACTTGCCCTTAGTACAGACAGCTTTTCTATACCTGAGTTAGCTCACAGTTCACAGAACACACAAATCCAAACCAGCCTCAGAGTAAACGTTGGAGTTAAAATGTGCTTGCTCTCATAAAATTCTTTCTTTTACAGTTATATTTTATGAGCATTTAAGTTCTCACCCCTGGCATATATGAACTAGCTTGTACTTGAAATAATTGTTGACGGCGTGCATAAGTCCCTAAAAATACCTTTTGATTTTTTAGTTTTAATGGAAATGACCAGCAGCGTACATTAGTCATGTTAAATGTTTTTGGAAGTAAGCCTGCCTGCATAAGAGCCTTTGGAAAGAATTAAAATGACAGAGTTTGCAATTTGAGATCCAATTAGAGCCAAAGAAACTGACATAACCCCAGGCATCTGAGGAAGTCGTTTTATAAAGAACTAAATGTAGGTGGTGAAGAGTATGGAATATCTAGATGAACTCGTAAAATAATAATGAAAAGGCAGCAGCCGTGGAGCAAAATACTTCTCAGTGGTAGTCATTCTGTTACCTAGTTGTTTTTCCAGAAAATTCCAGAAAGTAATAGGGACTTATTTTTATAAAATCTAGGCAGATCGTAATTTTAAAAGCTCAGGGCTTCCTCTGGAAGACAATAGAATTCTGTGTCTCCAACTCATTTGCCAACTAAATTAGAAACAAGATTTTTTCTTAACTCTTAAAATTTGCTTGTTCCCTTATTTTTAGCACTTTTTGGCTTTGTTCAGAGCTTATGTTTTTTTGTGCCTGTTTGTGGATGATAGGAAAACCTACACATGGAATCCTGTTAGATACCTTTCCAGTATAATGTTTTGCTTTGGTTAAATATGCCAGATAGGGCACACACTTAGAAATTAAATAGGAAGTCCTCTCCTCTTCTGCATGACTAAGACTCTCCACTCCAGCAGTCTGGTGGTTTACCACCATGTACTGTACCTTATAGCCAGACCACCAGGAGAGAAGTGGAAGTTTTAGAAGGAAGGCAGGAAGGCTGCAAGAGGCTATTCCCAAAACTATGAGAATGAAGACAGCAATTCTTTTTTCCTTTCCATTCATTCCTTTCCTCTGGACTTGTTCACAACCATTAAGTAATGTGTATGGTTTTGAATGAATAGATGCAGAGAGGCAGAGAAGAAAAGGAAGAATAGATGGATATTGAATGTCACGAGACCACTGAACTGTAAATGACCAGTATTCTAATATGGGTGAAGATATTTTCTAATTATTCTTTTCCTTGCTTCCCTATTTGTCACTTATTATAATATCTGACCCATCCATTCTGGCTGAAAAAGAGAGTTTAAATGAATAAATGGAAGAAATAACTGATACAGTCAGTCAAAATGTCTAGTGTGGTGACTCACACCAACAAAAAGACATGCGAGTAGGGAGGGACTTGGGAGAAGGAAGACTTTCAGTAGGAGGGGAGGGGAATGAGAGAGGGAAACGGGTGAAAATGGCTTGAATTTGTATATCCATGTATGAAGCTGCCAAAGAATCAAAAATAAATTTTAAAAAGTCAGATGTGGTTGCAAACACTTGTAATCCCAGTACTAGTGGCAGGGGGTGGGGTGGGGTGGGGTGGGAAAGATGGGATGATCTTTGGGTTTCACTGGCTGGCCACTGTAGCTGAATCAGTGAGCCCCAGGCCAGTGAGAGACCATGTCTCCAAAACCAAGGTAGACAGTTTCTGAGGAATGACACCAAGGTTGTCCTGGTCTCTACATGCATGCACACACACATGCAAGTCCATCCCTCCAACATACATATATATGCACACACATACACACAGAAGATTAAAGTGAAGGGGAAAAGGGTTGTAATGGAAATATCTTAGTTTAAATGGGCTTTAAAGAAAAGCCTCACAGCATACATACTCATATACACAATCAAAAAGATAACACCAATGCAAGCCTCCAGAATATGATTCTGAATGACAAGGGTCTCAAAGAAGGATAGATAGGGTATATGATACTGTTCTTTTCATAAGCCACTCTTTCTCCCTTCCTTACTGTCCTACTTAAATCTGTATGGAAACCTTTTCTTAATAAACTCCACCTTTGCTACATTGAAAATTGTACTTCAGTTTCTGAGATAACTGTCAAATCTTCCTCTCCCAGGATGGTTACAATATCCTTATAACTAGTCTATCTAATATCAGCCCCCCCCTCTAATCAAACCTTTACATTAGACACACTATAAAAGTTCAAATACAGGATTCAAAGTCTGCCCAAATATAGCCAAGTATATTGTTCTACTTTCTGTAATATCCTGTACTTCAAACAAAACTATTGTTTCACTCTTACTACAGTGTGTCCAGCTGTGGGAATGATGCATGTGTGCATGACTGAAGCATTTAAAGCAATGTTGGTACATAGTAAGCCTTTAGTAAACACTATTATTGTTATTAATAGTGTTTTCATATCATAGATTGTTCTTACATCTGACTTCAAACCTTTGATGAAATGTTCCACTTGAAAGCCATCCCTGATCTCCTCTCTATCAGAACTAATGCTGTTCTCCTGCTATTATGTCAGGAGAGGAGTGCACAGGGACATGGGGAGGAGAAACTATCCAGCCCTAAACCTGTGTCTAGGTTTACAGAGCATGCTTATCTACATGGCTGTTTTCTATAATGTGTGAGGGAAGAGTCTTCCTGCTTGCAAATAATGGGAATACTGATTCCTACAGAACCTTAGAAGAGGCATGTTCATTTAAAAATTTTTCATTTTCAGAGATCTCCTATACTTAGGTACTGTTAAGACGATGTTTGGGCATAGTAGCACGAGCCTGAATTCCTGGACTTAGGAGGTAGAGGCAAGAGGATGAGGAGTTCAAGGTCATCCTTGGCTGTATACTAAGTTCAAGGCCAATCTGGGCTATATAAGACCCTGTCACAAAAATAAATTGGTAAATAAAAAAACAACAATATTTGGGGGCTGGTTGTGATGGCACACACCTGTAAATGCCTATATTCAGGAGGCTGAGACAGGACAATTGCAAGTTCAAGACCATCCTGTGTTATATAGAAAGTTTAAGGTCAGCCTGGACTTTATTGCAGGCTCTGTCTCAAAAAAAAAAAGGGTGGCAAGATGGCTTAGTGGGTTAGGCCAAGCCTGGTGACCTGAGTTTTATCCCCAGAACCCACATGGTGGAAGGGGAGAACTGACTCCTGAAACTTGTCCCTGACCTACATGCATACCATGGCACCAACATAAAATAAGTAAGTTAATTTTAAAAAAGAAAAAAGTACACTAGTGATAAATAGTAGCTTTCTTTTTTGGGGGGAGGGAATATGTGGATAGGGGTTGGTCCTCTTATTTCAAATCCTTTTGACCTATATTAAATATGACTATTTAACACAATCGTGTCTATGATTTTCTGAGGTAATAATATTTCCTACAGTGGTCTGTGTGTAATATCAACTCTGCCTTCTTCTGTGTCCGTAGAAATAGTTGTAAATACAAAAGGGAATCATTACCCCCCTAAAATGCTAAAAGTCCCATTTCTAGAGCTACCTCACATCTGTTCTTTCATTTTTATATGAAATGAATTTTTTTTTGTTTTGTGTTTTTGGGAGAGGGTCCCACTGTATAACACTGGTTGGTCTGGAACTCACTTATGTAGACCAGCCTGGCCTCAATCTTGCAGAGATCAGCCTGCCAAGTGCTAGGATTAAAGGTGTGTGCTACCATGCCTGATAAGAAATGAGATTTTGAAAAACAAAATGAGCCCACACTACCAGAGATGACAAGCTTATTCAAAGTGCATTTTAGGTTCCCTTGTTTCATTTGAGGATATAGCATCTCAAGGTGGGGTGCGCTAAACAGAGGAGAATGAATACTCGTACATATGCACAATAGATAGTCCAAGGGGGCACTGATAAGCAGTAGGGAAACAACAACAAAGACAGTAAAATTATTCAGTCCTAACTAGTCGTAAAAGGCATTCTCTTCCTGCCTGCCTTTACCTCAGAATAAGAGTGGTCATTAATCACCAGCAAGTAGGCCCAACATGCCGAAGACCTGTCAGCACCGTATAAACAGAATAAAGCAAACTGTTAATATTGCTGTCTCAAGAAAACTGAAAACAGACTGATTAATCGTATTGGTGCTTGACCGCCAGGGAGCCAGCTTTGGTTGCTGCCTTATTAGGGAAGTCATGGTTTGCTTTTAGGCCTCTCATTATTATGACTGTCCGGTTTTCATCCTCACTATTTTTGTTATTGTTGTTAAATGGATGCCTTGTTCTTGAAGCTCTACTGCAAATCTTGACTGGCAGCAGTGATTAGTTTAGAAAAAGTCAGTATCCTCCATGAAGCCTAAAATGTTTACAGTGCTGACAGTTCTCTGTTTCTGATGACTCCCAGATGGTGACCCTGCCGAATTAGCTCAAGGCCTAGTTAACTTTTAGTCAGAAGAGTTATTTATTGTGTCCACACACGAAGGTGTGTGAAGAACTCTGGAAAATCTTGGGATACAGTGGTGTCAGGAAGCC